TGTTGATTATATTCAATTAGACGTTGATTAATGGCTTTCTGAAATGTTTCTTGAAAATGTATTTATGTAAGTGATTAATTGTTTTCACAAATTAAGTAATTCAGAGTTATTATGAAAAAATATAAGTTTTGGGTATAATAGAAAGTTGAAGAGCTTTTATGGCCTTTTCAACCACAATAAATATACGAGGTCTGTTCAAAAAGTACCGGGAATTTTCGTTTTTTCAAAAAATATTTATTTATTCGTCTACATTAATGTGGTCCCCTTCAAAGTAGTCCCCCCAGATATAATACACTTATGCCAGCGTTTTTTCCAATTTTCGAAGCACCCTTGATATTCACTTTTTGATATGTCCTTGAGCTCTCAGCGATTTTCTTCAATCGAGGAAAACCGCCGTCCTTTCATGGGTCTCTTCAACTTTGGGAATAGAAAAAGTCACACGGAGCCATATCTGGTGAATTTTTGCACTTTGCAACACTTTATTTCATTTTTTACGCAAAATTTAATACAAATTCTTTGACTTTTCAATTCTTCCATTGTAAAAATCGCCGAGCTCAGAAAAAACACGTCGAACCTTAGCGACTACCACAGACAAAATAAACAGTGAATATAGCTGAAAATTTCATCATACTTTAGGGCATGTATACCAACACATAAAAAAAAAAAATTGACAATCAGACACTCCAGACCCGCGAAATTTAATTATTAGTAATTCCGGGTACTTTTTGAACACACCTCGTATACTTAATAGATTGCAGTTTAAGGAGAATTTGATTTGAAGTGGGTAAAGTGATATTGATAGTAACTACTTTTTTTGAGAAAAAGTAGTACTTAATTTAAGTGAAGAGAATCAAGAATTTGTTACTGGCTAGATTTTCCATAATGCTGCTTTATTCGATTTCAGTATGAAATTTTCAGTGCTATCATAAAATCATTACAAAATTATTCTGTGCATACTACTGTTCATGTGAAGAATTTAAATATAGAAGCAATGCAGTATGTACTAGATGATTACTTCCTGCTTTCCAGAAATCTTTGAATAATTTCATAACGCTACTTCATATTATTAATGCGCTGCAATGTAATTTGAATAATTTCATTATAAAATTCTTTTATGACTAAGGCGGATTGCATAATATACTCGTGAAAGTGAAATGGTATTTCCACAATTAATTTAGTTATTTAATTTAAGACTGCGTAATAACATACTTTGACTAAAAATTCATTTAAAATAATAGAAAAACACAGAAAATTTAAAACTTGAATGATTGAAGTAACAATGGCATTTCAGGTGCATTTTGGTTTCCTAAATAAGTTAGGGACAAACATATTTTTACAACGCACAAGATTAGACAACTCATTTTTTGTCTAATCATGTTTACTTTGATGAAAGCATAATTACTCTGAAACTGCTAGACCTGCCTTTCCAAAAATTCGTCAGTTCTTCTCGTCAATACAAATAAAATTCCATGAATCATTCAAATCGGTCGCTAGGTCTCCAAAAAATTGAATTACCATTTTTGAAACTTTTGCCCCGTATCTTTCAAACGGCTGAATCTGCCTTTGCCAAAAACTAATCACCACGCCTCCTAGTCAATCTCGTTGAATGTTCATAGGAATGTTGCATTTGTAATAATTCAATTGTTCATTCGTGTTCTAGAAATCGTCGATGAGAAATTGTATCCACACATAACATACACACACGCACACCGCACACACACACTACATCCATTTTTTCCAAGGTATGCCAAAACGTTCAAAAACCTTTGAAACGCATAGATATGCCAATTTCATTTCGATTTTTTTGCAATACTATAACTTACCCTACGGGAAGTTAAAATTAGAAATACATATAGGTAGTATCTACGTTTAGATAGTATAGTATTAGAAGTATAGTTCTTCACGTTTGGCATCTATTATCAGTAAGAACTGGTCCCTTTTTCTTACACTTTAATCAGATAATCAGTCGCTGTATACATGGATGCTTCAAACAAATTCTTTGCTCGCTTTTGAATCTCATTAATATTATGAGGAAATTGATATTCTACTGAACGCCAAAGCTCCTCTTCATTAGTGATTAAAGCTATGGGATTTGAACCAGAATATCCAGGTTTGATGCCCAGCTCGGAGAGCCTGATGTCTTGCACTAATAAAATTTCACTTCACTAATAAAAAAATTAGTATTACAGAAATTGTACTAATAAATTTATCACATATAGGTAGGGCAGCCGTTTGGGTTGCTACCTGTAATAAGATCCGTTTAATCCGATTTATTTATAATATGTTCAAATATGTATTATGCCACCACAATTTTTGGTGGTTATGAACTAGCAGTCTAGCACCATATGGGAATAAGCACCTCATATTCAAAATACCCGATAGTTTTTATTGAAATTACCCAAAAGCTATTAAAGAATATGTTTCTGCACCGTATTACACTTATTTATTCCGCCTTCATAATTTTATATGAATAATTTGTAGGTATTAATTCGAGAAAATACATATCGCCGTCACCTGCGTCGTTCTTTAATTTATCATTCGACAGTGAAGCAACAGTAAAGATATGATAAAACTTGTTTTTAGTCGCCGGACAAACAAATTTCGACAGTTTGGTTCGTTAAGGTCATTTTAATATCACGTTTTCTGCTGCTAATGGACAATAACATGCACTACAATAATAAAATCAAAACACAGAACAAGATTTATAGAGTACAAAAAAGCGACAATGGGTTTGTAATGTGTCTAGTATACATATCCAAAATAGGTAAAAAGACAATGGCTTGACTTTCAAGGTCGTCTGACAGTCAACTTAAATAAAAATAGTTTTAACATAGTGTAATAGAGTGATTTTAGAAATGATACTGGTTTTTAATCGTATAATTTGATAAAATTCATGACTGAACATATACGTAACGAACACCACTTTTTATTTACACTGATATTTATATCCAGAAATATTATTTATAAAGTTAAATTGAAATGGTATGCTCAGAAATGCAGAGTATAACAGTTGCATATCATTTAATTATCAATTGCATTATTGCCTAATCGTTAGCAATTCAGATCCAACTTAATAAAATCATATCATGAAGGTTTTAACTAGATTTTAGTAACGTTAATTTTTTTGAAAAAATCTCAAAATTCTAAATGTTCTAGGGCCTAATCTGTATTTTGAATATTAAACATCTAACTCTGGATATGCATAGGATAAACAAATATTTAAATTGTCTTAAAAAAAATTACATATCATTATTTCTAAACTTTCCTGTATGTACTATTTACGGATAACTTATTAAATTTGTTTACTTATTTTTAAAATTTGTTTTTCTTTCAATATTGAAAATATGAAAAATTAGGGGTCCATGGCAACTTTCATGGGGTCCCCACGGTAGGGAAAACAAAATTTGGGGGTCCACTAAATAAAAATGGAGGTCCCCAGTATATTTAGAAATGATTTAAACTTTAAATGTTTGTATTGAGCGCGAAGCCAGCCACCCATCAACCTCGCATATCTCAGAAACTATTGAATGCTTCAACTCAAAAATTTGTTCAAATTTTAGTAAAATGCAGTAACAATGTGGTATTTCAAGTTTCATCAAAATCGAATTATGCATTTTTGAAAACATACAATCTTGTTCAATACCAGTATTGAGAGCGGAGCCAGCCACCCAACAACCTCGCATATCTGAAAAACTAAATGGCCAACTTCAAATTTTGGTCACAAATAATAAAAAAAAAAAATATGAATTGGGCTCCGAATTGAACGCGGCATAATCCGGCCAAAAATTGATTTTATAAAAACCCGGATCACTTGATGGAAATCCGCGACTGTTCTGGCGAAACTGGTACGTGTGGTCACTTTAATATAGGGGGTCCATAACAAAACAAAAAAACATTGCAAGGGGCCCATGGCACGAACAAGTTTGGGAACCTATGATCTAAACCCACATTTAAATTAAAAATTAATTTAGTTAATAATTGAAGTGGCCTATTATTGTATTGGAAATATGCGCATCCGTGGTATTTCTTATGCACTTTCGTATCAATAAATATTTGTGATTCAAATTTTTGTTTATGGAATTTTGAATTGCATACTTACTAATCTTGTATCTATTTTATTGATATTATGGATATTTTATAAATATTGGTACACTTCACGAAACCAAAGAGACCAAACAATATGTATGTCTTACAATTAGAAAATTTATGCAAATACCGAGGTGATTCGTTAAACCAGAAAAATTATTTAGAACAAATTTGGTGTGTTTCACTTACCAGTCATCGTAACGTTGACGTATCCTAGACCTACGTGGGCTCCAATTCTTGCGGAAATTTTCTCATTGGAAAATGCCCGATATGAAGCAGTTACCTCCGTACACGCCACGTGCCAACCGGCGCCCAACAGCCACTGAAAAGACATTATTATTAATAAAATTAAAATAATCATAAATTATAAAAATACATCTAATTTTATTTATATAAAATTAAATATATATATAATATTTATATTATATATAATTTTATTTGGCAGAACTGGTAATACCGGGATGGAGGAAATCGATGTGTCATTAGACGAGTTCTTCACTATTGCATTATAACCTTGTAATTTGAATGTTTCTCTTATTACAGTTTACGACTAATTTAATGACAAAAAGTATGATAGATTACTTTTTTGAATAATATTGAGATATAATAAATGTCTGTAAAGTCCCATAAATCGTGACGCTAATTATAAAACCTGTGATATGTATTTTTCAGTATTTTAATGAACTTATTATAGCATTGGAATTAGTGACGCAAATTAAAAATTGTGATTTGATAGACATTGAAATTTATAGGACGAAATTACAAAAATTAAGCATTATCTACTGAGCTATCATATATATCCATATGGATTTCAGTTTACCGAGCATTGATTCCAGTGTAAATTTTTCTTAAAATAATAGTATCTATCAATAAGCTTTCAACATGTTTAAACCAGGCGCAGTTTTTGATAATGTAATATAATATATATATATATATATATATATATATATTAAAACAACAAGTATAACAACTCTGTGCTCAACTTAATTAATAATTAAGTAAAATTTCTTCCAATCAGTGATGTCCAACTATCAAGTTCAAACTGGCACTAGACAGAAGTAAGTATACAGACAGAAGAAATACTAAATCAAATTGTATAATTGAATAACATATAAAGCTATTTATTATATTTAAACAATTGATAAAGCTCGTCTTAATCATTCATGAATCCGTAAGTATTTATTTCCTAAGAATTTGTTTGGTATCTTTTCTGTTAAAGTTCTTCGTGTATCTAATATTATTGAATTTTTGAGCAAAAAAAATAATTCGGAATGTGTTGTAAAATTTATTAATATGCCTTCGATACCTTATTTACCAATTATTTGGGAGATAATTTTCCAGAAAATCTTCCTTATTTTAATTATGGAAGGGTTAGGCATATTGCTAGAAAGAGAATTTGTTAGGTGGTATTTTACCCGAAGGCTACTTGCTTGAACTTTCCGATGTGTAAATCATCGATTTAATCAAAAAGTATTTGATTTGTATATGAACTACCTGTCTAACACTCTATTTTTACCTGTCTAAGTGACAGGAAGGTGTTTGTAACTGCCTACCTGTTAACACGTTTACCTGTCTAATTGTCTACTTGCCTGCCAATCGATTTGCTTACCATTCGACTTGGCTACTCTACACTTTTCTACCTTTCTACCAGTTTACGTGTCCACCTTTTTACTTGTCAATCTTCCTATCTCTCTATCTTCCTATCTATCTTCTATATCTCTCTATCTTCCTATCTCTCTATCTTCCTATCTCTCTATCTTCCTATCTCTCTATCTTCCTATCTCTCTATCTTCCTATCTTCGTATTTCATCGTATCTATCCCTCTATCTCTATCTTCGTATCTATCCCTTTATCTCTATCTTCGTATCTCTCCATTTATCTCTATCTTCGTATCTATCCCTCTATCTTATCTGCGTATCTATCTCTCTCTATCTGCGTATCTATTTTCTATCTTGTATCTATCTCTCTATTTCGTATCTATCTCTATCTTCTATCTATCTTTATCTGTCTACCTTAAACATAAACCTAGTAACGAGAACATGCCGCAAATGCTTAAATACTTTCAGTTTCCAAGAAATTTGACTTCCGCCTATTACAAATATTACCTTCTATTGCTTTTAATAAATTCTCTCAATGTTTGCACTACTATTACTTGTGTAGGTACTATTAATCCATTCAATTAATAGCAATATCTTGTTTCGTTTGAGGTCTAGAACTAAAACTACTATTGAAACTTTTTTTTTAGAAATCTTTATGATCACATTGCAACACTGGCAATAAACAGTTCAATCAAGATCTTGGTATTCTAAAGTAATTCTGGTACGTCTTTATATTGAAGATAAGTCGTTAATGAACGCTCATCAGCATTTTATTGGCGGCAATTTCTTGTACAAAGTGATGAATTACTGAAACCATACGTTGGCCGTTATCGTATAGAAAAGCGTGTGCTTGTTACTTGACATTAGAATCGCAACCTGGTTACTCGCTAGAACGTGATAGAATATATTAAATGAGCCGAACGTTGCGCATTGCGCAAAATACTATTAGGCAACTTATACACTAAATGGACGTTATATTTACGAGCATTATAACTACTTACATGCCCATGCAATGCATTCTTTATTATAATAGATGCAGATAACTGGCGAGATGTCGGCCAGCAGCACAAAATGAATTGAATGTTTTCTTATGAGCATTTCATTAGTCACAATCGTACCATAAATAATACCTACTATAATGCAATGTTCCAAATGCATGCAAATTGTAATGCTCAATGTTTGGAATGTGCAAGTATCGACATGAAATACTGTCGGATGAAAATTTAAATTATCAGCCGAACGATATTTATTGATTTGAAATGGAATTATTTAAATCTTCCAGCACGTCGAATTTGCAGATAATGTGCATTGAATTTGAAAGTAATAATATATAGAACTTGCAGCAAACACACAGATGCTGCTATTGATATTCGTACATATTATTAGTTGATACTAAAAATAATTTAGCACGTCAATCCACATACATATATGTCTGATATATGCGATTTGATAAAGAGCTACGTTTTACATAAAAAAAAAGTTTTAGTGTAGAGACGTCAGTCATATATGTGTGAAGTGTGACATAAAAAATAGTGTATGAAGAAATTTTGGCAAAAGTTTTTTACTTAGATACATTAGGTTTCCTTGATACATTTCTAACTAAATATTCCATTAAAAACAAAATACTAATTTACAAAATTATTATCAAACCAATTTAGACTTACGGCTTACAACTCTGAGTGCGGCCAGTAAGTCAAATATTACAATTTTTCAGAGATCCCAGAATAAAATTTAAAAACAGATTGCAAACGTCCCAAAATTGTGCGAATAACAACCATCGAAGAAGAGATTAAGCAGTATTGCACCAAATACAAGAAACCGACTAACTCACCAATTGCCGAATGATCTGCTCAGGCCACTACCACCTAAGCACTCAAAAACAAACTCTTGCAATAAAATACTATAGAAAATTAATTGAATGTATGTATTAAATGAATATTGATTAACGCCAATTTATAAAGAAAAATTACAGGTATATCGCAAAAATCAAAAAGATTTTATATTATCTTACATTTCAGGACATTCTAATATACTTGGAAATATTTTATTCTAACAAACGTAATTATTTTTGAAGTCTGTTGAAAACTTTCAAATCATCCAGCTCAAATGTTCGACTTGTAATACTTTGGTATATAATGGCTTATATTTAAATACTATTTTTCTGCCATATTTCCAAGAAAACGAATAAACTGATCTGAAAACAAAAATTATGTCTAGAACCCACTTAATTTTAGGCAAAATAGTGATTCGAAGATACATACATATTCAAATATTCGAATCTGTATTAATTGAAATCTGAAAAATGTGTTATTTTTGGTAGGATGTTTTCACCAAATGTTTGTTACTACATTTTGCGGTTTACTACCATTATTAAAAAATTTTAGAAGTAGAAAGAAGAAGAATACTCTAGATAGAAAAGTAGAATCAGAAGCTAAAATTATGTACTAATTAAAATGTAATTAAAATTCCTTAAAAATTGGCTTCGCTCTTTGGAAATTGTTCAAATCATCATTTCCACAAAGATTGAATAGGTAGGGTATACTATATGAAAATTATTTCAAAAAACACCGTTCCTATAAATTAGTGTATAATTAAATAATATTCAAATAAATATATATATATTTAATATACCTATATAAAGATAAATCACCAATATATCAATCTATTCATAAATAAGCGCATATCTCTATAGATATAGATAAACAAGTATGAGACGTATCAAAATATTATCTGATATGCCATTTTGAATAAATTTATTTTTTATTTATATTCAGGTGGCAAAGTAATGCAATATTATTGATGTGTATGATTGAACCATATGCGTTTAAAATAATAAATGTGTACGCGAGTTTTAAACGCGGAATTATGTTCAATGTCATGACATCCATTAAAGCAATTTCAAATTATTCCGCTCAATGTTTGCACTGAATAACCCGAGGTGTTCTTTGAAAAATCCAGCATAGGTCGAAGACCGTCCTTGTTTGAAGCATCGCCGAATATAGTCAGACAGACATTGAATGAAACATGGAACATGGAACATGTCTGAGTACTCGAAATTGTTGAATTCTTAAAAGTGACGCGCTATTATGAATTCGTGATACCAGAGTATTACGAAGACATTTTATTAAATTTTCAGTAAACCTTGTCCATGGCATTCTTCTGGAGATCGACAGCCGTCACAGCGATCAGTCACGATCGTCTTATAAAAACATTGGAAATTGGGAATTATGGAGAAAACGGATGTATTGCATTTTACAATTTGAAACTTTGTTTGTTCGATAGAAGGTGAAGATTTATTTAATTTGTACCATCATGAACTAAGTTTATGGACTTCATTGTGTTCCAGCTATACTAGAAATCAATAATCTACTTGTTTGTTAAGGCAAATTGCAGAAAATTCAAATTTTTACAAATTTGAAAAAAAATAAGATTTACAAATATATATTTAACTGGCTGATCCAGCAAACATTATTTTACCATGAAAAGTATTTGTAAATAATTTCTAGAGAATCCAAAAACTGTTGTTTTAAACATTTCAAAAAAGTTTAATATTTTGAGTTTCTTGTATTCTTTTTGCATATAAATAAAATTACTTACTACAATAAATAATATTCATATAAAACATCCTAATAAATTAATTCGAACATTATCTATCAAAACCATTTGACGTATGAGCGGCATGCAATTGTTTCATGCAAATTACGTTTTTATAAAAAAAAAAAAACAAGTTTTTATGCGGTTTTGAAATAATATCTCACCTTTCCCACAATCTCTAGCCAAATCGGTTTAGCCGTTTTTGAGTTTCAGCATACCTAACATTTTGTAGAGCTCTATTTTTATATATAAGATAAGCGATACTTAAAAATGATTCTATATTATTGTCCTGAGTATCAAGCCCGACATACCCAGTCAAAAGACCTAGTCTCGGATGCCTAAACGCAATTCCTTCTCTACACAAATAAACATATTTAAACTCGATGCGTCAAGATATAGAAAGTTTATTCTAATATTTCGATTTACAAGCATGTATGATTAGAAACGAAAAGCAATTTTTACATCATGAAAACTGATCATAAAATTTTCTTTCACGAAAACTGATCTCTGAAACAAAAATCCGCCGTCAGAATTTTCTGCTTATATTTTATATTCGAAGGAGTGAGTTGGCTCATTTTACATTTTTTGAAGACTTAATTTCTGCAATTTTCCTAATGATATATTTCTAAGCTACTAATGTATCGTTACAAATCGACTAAAAAAATTAAATTTAATTATATATAATTGCATCTTTATTACATATTAATTATTATGGGATCAAGAACTTTTCAATGAACCTGAATAAATTCATACATCTCATAGTAAGAGTATATATCGTGACAAGTGAGTCGAAATTGAATGAAATATTGCTAATTGCAAAAAAAAAAATATAATTTGCACCTGAAATGATTTCACAGCACTCAGAGATTTATAGCTTATCACAGCTACTTTTAATACATTTTTAATTTAATTGCTAAGAAATACTATTTTATTTTAGAATTTCTTGTTATGCCGATAAAAATATTTAATTTATTTCCATTTCAGAACCTCTGGAGCGTTTAAATAACGATAACATTATGGCAAATAAACGATCATATAATTTAATATTTGTAATTTCCGTAGAAGTTTGTAATAATATTTAAATCGGATTCAGTCAACCAGTGTGAAAACGCATTTCGACACGCATTCAGCTTCTTTATATTTCAAATAAATTAATAATTTAATAAAGTGTTTATTAATTTTACATAATTATAATGCCATAAAATTCACCAAAACCATCAATTTAACAAATTGCCTAAGTTGACGACATGCTTTGTAAATAATTGCTATTTGGTTAAAAATGTTGCTAAAATTTAAATATTGTTTGCCTGTACAAAAACAAAATCGCATATAAAGGGAAATGTATACTAAGTCCAAGTAAAATGAAAGGTAATATTGAGAAAGATTTGTTAACATTATGACCATTCATATTTACTAACATTATGACCATTAATTAACTTACGACAATAAAATAGAAAACCATCGGAGTACCTTTGAATAAAAATAATCAAATAGATAGGACAATCATTGATTTACCATATAAAAATGCTCACCAGTACAAACTGATTGTTTCTTAGAATACAAACAAAATGTACAGAAAGCTTAACAACTAATTTTATTTGAACTTTTGAGTAATACTAACTCATTTTAGTTTGAGATAGCAATTTAGATATGATTTTGAATGAATTGATTCAAAATAAATTATAATATATTGATTACTTACCTAAAATAACGCAGCCAACAAACAAACTTAAGGTGACGGTAACAAACGTGGTGAATCTCTGAAACAAAATTAGTCATCGATAAATGCGTTACTCATTTATATTATAATTTATGTGAAATATGATGTCAACATCTATTGTTAATGCTCCACTGATTAATAAGTTCAAAGCAATAAATTAAATATTATATAGTATCGAGAATTATCATACTGCTTTTCAATTAATTTAAATTATCATATCAAAATGGAAACACTTCATTACATCGATTTTTGATCAGTTTACTTGAATATGCTTATCCAATGTCAGTTGCTTTGTCGAATTTATCATTCTAATGATATAATAATTTTAATTACATTTCAATTAGCATTTAATGATAATTAAAAAATGAGGATCTATTTATTTAATAAATATCTGTAATAAGTCAATCGTGTGAAACTTCAATGAAAAATGAATTGGAGTATAAGCAAGAAGTATAAGTAAGAAAATATCAGATAAAAAAATATGCACAAATTTTGTTTGTTAAAAAATATTACTAATTGTGAAAAATGGAAAATATGTACTAATATTCTTGAATAAAAAATAATACCAAGAAAATGGATAATCATGAATAAAACATGTGGGGGAAGTAGGGACAAAATGACATGGTTTTTGTTTTTTTAATGACATTTAATTGATAATTATCTTTTTTTATTGTTCATAGCTTGTTCCAACAGTCGGAATATATTTTAATCTATAAGTTGAAAGTGTTTAATTTAATTTTATTGATATTGTATCTATTTAACCAGTTCCAATCGTTTTTGCTCATCTTTGATTAATTGGTTCATTGATTGCAAGTAACAGTCTTTCAATTAAGTAGGAACTATAATAACATGTTTATTAAGAAAAAATGCAACCAACTACAAAAACCGTTTTGTCAACATAGTATGGACAAAATGACCTAAGCTAATAACATACTTAGATATTAATTTTAAGATGGCAGTTCACAAATAAATCGTTTGGAACTCTTTGGAACATCAGCACATGTAGCATTAGGCCAAAGGAAACATCATAAATAGCTTTGGCCAGGCTCATAACGGGGAAAAAAGTCTTTCCAACAAATTACAGACCATTGTTTTTACCAATGGATACTTTGGTCTGGTTTTAAAAGTAGAGTAAAAGTTGAAAGCCAATATCATCTTTTACAAGTTTTAATTTTAGTTTTACGTGGTTTCGAATGAAGTACTACTGTAGAACTGGCAAAATAATGGCATTTTGTTCATAATATGTCATTTTGCCCAAAAATAAAAAAAAAAATTATCATCAAGCACCTGGTAATAGTAATAAAATTGATTAAAATCACTAGTACTAGCATAAATTCAATAATTTTCCTCAAAAAACAAGAGAAAACGAAAATAAACTTTTGAAGACGCTACACACTTTTGAACTGACTTTTGACCAGACTGACAATAAAGCTCAACATCTGACATGATTATTATTATAGCTCTTCGTGGTATGCAAGTCGCGAAAACGTTATTAAAACCAGCCATATTCTAAAAAGGACCATTGTGTCATTTTGTCCATATATACCATTTTTCAGTACTTCCTTTACTTCAAGCCATAAATCGTAATTTTTTATTTGAGATGATGAATCGCACATAAGTCATTTAATAAAATAGATTAAAAAATTTAAATAAAACACGTTCATGGAAAATGCAATGCTTGAACATTGCAAGAAGAAAGCGTGTACCAACGATTTTTTTTTTATATTATTTTCATTGGCCTCGCTTACTCGAGCATTTAGCCACCTACAACATATTTTAATTTCATTACAATATTTCAATTTCAATACAATCTTCATGTTCATACTATTTTTCTTATATAAATCCTATTCTTCTTCCTATTTTATATATTCTATCCTATTCTATGTACTCTTCAACGTAATTTCATTCTTCTTATTCCTTCTTTTATATCTTCTATCTTCTTACGTCTTCATTACTTCCATTACTTCCATTACTTCTTTCATTACTTCTATTCAATTTAATTTTTATTCTCAAACCTTTTTATATACGATTAAACTATTTTTAACATTATTTCAAACTATTTTTAACTTTATTTCAAACTATTTTGTTCAATGCAGCCTTTGTTGGCAAACACTGATCTACAATTGTATTGCAATATTTTCAATTCCTGTGTCATTTCTGTCATTTCGGATTAGTTAGGTTTATCTGATCTCTTTCCATCCGATTAATTATGGCCATTAGCACTGTACCAACGATTAATATTACGAGTTACACCACTCTTCAGAACAATGGTACAAGGCTCGGCGCGCAATAAATATGAACCTTGACCACTAAAAATATCAAAGAAATATGCTTATATATGTATATAAATTAACTATTATTACTGACCTGTTTTCGTACGCCAGGGAAGACGAGCAAGAAAGCGAGGTAGAGCGTGCCGAACAAAACGCACGCGGCCACCGTGTGGACATCTCCCGTGACCGGGGTGCGGTTGTTGAAGCCATACAGCGTGGGACCGCCGTCGCTGCGGAATGCGTCGAACCAGCCCCTCATGTCAGGGGCCGCTGGCTGAAACAATCATAAGAAACAATTTAGTTTCTATCATAAAGAAGTCAAATCATTGAAATATTAAATTCATGATAATTTTCATTAGGCATTTAAATCTATGCAGTATTTATTTACTCTACGATATGGGTTTCCCAAACTCTTGTGCCGTGGATGTTTTTTGCTTCGTGATGGACCTCCCTATTTACTATTGATGTGGATATTATTTTTTTCATCAGTTTGAAATTAAAACCGGAAGAAAATTTACTCATACAAATACTCCATTTAACTTTAAAAGGAAATTAATTTTAAATGAGTTTTTGAAGTCAACGGGAAAGGCCATTGATTAAAGAAAATAGATATTTTTTTCTATTCTCTATTTTATTTACAACTGTCCAAGTTAAGGACATTTAGTAAATTTGGGGAATTTACAATTGTCAGTCGTAAAGGGATATTGTATACTATATTGATATGTTTTAGTATTAACAATATTTTAATGATAATGATATGATGATAACTATTCACTTATAAATATATTTATAAATAATATATTTCATAAATTTTATAAATATATTTATAAATAATATATTTCATAATTTTTTCTGATAAAGATTGAATTAACTTAGTTATTATTTAGAAGAATACTTCTAAATAATAACTAAGTTAATTCAATCTATCAGAAAAATTTATGACTTAGATCAAGTGGCGCTTTTTTCTAATCTACGTCGATAGTTCTCTGTTAATTAAGGAGTTGACTGGGTGACTGATGAGCTTGTTCCTATATTTGTGTGTTGTTTTTGTTATTACAACTTTTATGGTAGGTGTGTTTGTGTCAAGATGAATCAGCCAGTTCGAGATATAAAACAAACATTCGTTCTGAAATTTCTGTATAATTTCTATATTAGTCTTATGAGCACCTACGTCACAATAGTATTTCATAGCACCAAATTGGTTTGAATAAAGTTTTATACAAAAGCAGCTTATTGTACGAGCTTAATCTGGATTTGGTTATAAAGCTTTTTGGTTTTTATCTCAAGCTGTTGCCTCTTTTTTATGTAGATTCGACAATTAAGTTTTCTATCGAGGTATATGTCGAGATATTTCATGGTCTTCTTGAGGTACTTTAGTGTTTCTTATTAACTTGATGTGTTGTGATCCAGTACCGTGGACCCCCAAATTTATTTTTCGATGCAATGAATGGCTTGAAGTTTGTCATGGACCCCTTGCGGTTCATGTGGACCACTTTGAAAATCTCTGCTCTAGGCCAACATTGCACTATAGGAAAAGTGAATTCATAAGCAAAGTGCGAATAAAATTCGTCCAATGTAGATTCCGCAATACGGCGCAGTCAATTCCGCAAATATTTGTTAACCTTTTATGATATATTTCGCAATTATAATAAGCATATACAAACACTCACAGATGATGTGTTTATATTATTATGTGGGTTGGGTAACTCCGAAGTTAATTATATCCCATGATATGATTGATTCCATTTTAGAAATTATATTCGAGCGGAAATAACTTCGACAATAAGTCTTATCCAACTACTCTAAAAGTGTTCTTAACTAAATCCTGAATTTTAGAATGTATTTAGAGAAGCCATATAAGACTTATTCTCAGAGTTATATCAGCTCAAATATAACTTAATTCAGAACCTGAATTTGTACAAGTATAATATTATTTTTATATTTATACAAATACATGCTTAACTGTGTCGTTTCAACTATACATTCAATTTTAGAGCCATCATAATTTACAAAAGCTTTTTGCTTTTTGCTTTTTTTAGCTTTTCAATTTACAGAACACCATTTGCATCTGATCGTTATAAATAAATGAAATTACAAAAATGTATTATTAAACATATTATTGAGTAATATGTTTTCTATTGACCTTAGTTTAATTTTGATTACCATTTTGGTAATCATGAATTTTGGCATACCATTTGTGATTTGCATAAAATAATAATTTTCCTAATAATATCTATAAAATACTCGAATACGAATTTCAAATAATGTGATTTGACAAATCCTAATTTAATAATAACAATTACTATTTTGTTAATTAACTATTATCACTATATACAATATTACTATAATCACAACAATATGAGAAATGTAAGTTTACAGCAGCATGGCAATTGGCAATAACGAATATCAGATTTAATTTTACAGAATTTCATTCTCGCTTATTGTTAAAAAAAATATCCATGTGATGCTTTGTTCGTTTTCGAAGCTATTTTCGAAAATTCGATAAACTTATAATGAAACAAAATGAGGGGAGAATAGAATGTTCATTTCAAGTAGTTAAAAATCTTGTGTCATCAATGTTAGAAAATAAATACATAATTTATTTATATACATATCATATTAATTAATTCGAAAATTAAGAATCATTCGCACACGTGACATTATATTGATTAATGGAAATTTGTCTATTATTTTAATTATTACTACTACGTTAAGTTATACAAAGGAAACATACTTCCTCTGGTTACATTCATCATCGTATAATGACGCTAACTACTTTCTATGTACATTAAATTCAAAAGCAGATTTCGATCTAATTTAAATGAGAATGATGCCAGCCAAAATTATATATAGAGAAAGTCAAAATATAATTAATGATAAATGATTATGTAATATCAGTAATATTTCTACGATTTATTGCTTTAAGCGCCAGATGTGGTCCACCTGCAGCACCATCAGGTTATGGACAAGAACTTCAATGTTAATTCATGGTAAAAGTTTAAAAATCTTTAAAGTATGAATAATAATGATAATGATTTCTACACTTCCTGTAAAAAATAAATAATAAATAGCTCTGTATTATTTTGAATATTTTAACGTGATTGCTTGTTTGGCATGGCGAAATTTATATCCCTCTCGGGAGACTTTAGAAAGTAGTGATACATGTAATAGTTGGGATATAAAACACCACGATTAATTAAATTCAGAAAATAATGATCGAACTTATTAACTAAATTAATTTTAAATTTGCCCCAATTGGTCAAAATCTTGACCTCTATTGATTAACATATGCCTGAGTATCTTTGGATATAGTAGTTTATGTTCACATTATAATTCGAAATAAATGAAAAAAAAACGTTTAATTTTAATCAGATAATTATTAAAAGATTTATTGACATTGAGAAAAAGCATATTTAGTTAAACGTTAATAAAGACAAATATTGCATTCTTTCTGTGAATACTCACTTTGTCAATTCTAATCTTTTGTTTGTGGCATTAATGTAATTTTAAATTTATTAAAAATATCAATGTAAAAACAAAAACGTATGCAAATATACTTTGATATGCTATAAATTTATAAGTTTAACTATATATTTTTGAGTTTAAAACCATGTCGCTCATGTCAGACTGTCTTAGTGAGTTATTGGTATGACCCAAGAATAAGTAAGTCCATTCACGTGCTTTTATTGAATACGTGTTGATGAATTTCATTTTCTGAAGAGAGATTTCACATTATTCAGATGTCGCAAAAATCAAAACTTTCACCATGTATGTATATACAGTATTCTTTGCAGTTGATCAGCAGCAATTCAATTACAAAGCATATAATAGCGTTGGTGACTCGATCAATAATCATTTTTATATCTTGTACTGAAAATACGATAATTATTTCCCGCACGACATCAAACAAGGTTCTTGGCTTACTTGCGGTTAATTATAATAGCTTATGTATCAATAGATACTGCTCTATTATTGGAATTTCGATTCAAATATTTATTGTTGGCATTAGCATATTTGTTACACAGATATTTTATGGTTCAATTTATTGCTATAAATTTTATTGCAAATATAATAAAATATTTGTATTATATACACAGATATATATATATATATATGTTTGTAAATACATACACATATGTGTATAAAAGCAGTTTTAAATGAATACTCAAAATATGCAAGATAGTTCACAGATAAGTTCGTTTCACGTTTTCACGTTATTGGAATCGATTTGAATAATTTAAATGCTGTTAATACAGTAAGTAAAATTGAATTTAATTATCGATTAAATAAACCTACATAATTAAATTAAAATTTCGCTAAGCTTTTCGCTTATATTTTTTGTTTGATGGCCATATCTCTAACCATATAAAGAATCTTAAGAGCGCATTGTCATGCAACTGGCTTATATTCAATAAAATTTCTCACTTTTTACTTTCTGTTCCGCATCAAAAACATATATGTATGTATATACATAACTATCAACAATACTCGTAAACGATAATATTTTTTGTTACGATAGAACTGTTATTAATATTATAAATTAATTGAATAATCGACCTCTAGTTATGTGTATCTATTTAATGTTTATGGCATCATATGCTTAAAATAATATTTTTGATATCATTAGCCACAATTAATGAAGAATAAAAATATATAGCATGCATATAATCTTTAGTTGAATATTTTCGAAATTTATTTTAACCGAAAAAACTAATTTATATAAGTGCCATGAAAGTATCAATTTATATATTTTAACGAATGTTAATGAATAAATTTATAATGACTATAATGTGTCCTAATATACCATTACTTTATCCTTTATGTTTACAAAAATTTAATGCAATTTCAATTTATATGCAAAATTTAAATCGACTTATCGATCGTGCAAATTTATAAATTAAACAAGAAATAGAGAAAAATTCAGCAGTTGATGTAGACTTAATTCTATTTAAACGATACATAAAAAATTCAAAATAAAATAAACTAGTGGGTGTATGGTATCGTGCCTCAAGGAAAATTGCTGGAACTTCCCGTACGTAACGAAATGTTCGAGAATAATAAATGTTTTCAAATATATTATTATAAATAATACTGTAACATTGTCTAATATTTATAAGAATTATATAAACTGAAATGCATAGTTAAAAATATTTGATTAAAGTATATTAGAACTTAAGTCAGAATTACAATTAAAATTTGAATTATTTTCGATATATAAAAAAAAAGTTTTTAAAAAAATTTTAAAAAACAAAAAATTTTTTTAAAAGCATTTTGTTAAAACAAGTAGAAAGGTTTTTGAATCATTCAAATCAGATGCTCCGATCTCTCAAAACCCGATTTCTATTTTCTGCACTCCTTGCTCTGTATCTCGGAAACGGCTGGACTGCCTATATATTAAAAATCAATATATTTATGTATCCATAATATTATAATCCAAAATGAAAGCAAGGCAGGTCACAACTTTGGATGTTATGAACTTCGTTGGTTCTTCAGGAAATATAAAATAATTTTTTACTAAAAAAATACATAAAATTGAAGATAAACCCAACTTGCGTTACCAAACTCATATTATTGCGGACATTGCCCTGATACAATTTTCCTATGGGCGAAACCACACCCGAGATTGTGTAAAAATACCTATGCGTAAACTCTTCAGGCAAATTCATAAGTGCTGGTCTTTAGTTTTTTATCAAAGCGCTGTATATATTTTTAAATTTCGGATACTTTATTTCCTGACTTGAATCTTCGTTAATTATATCGTTAGCTTTTTTTCAAAGCAGCAATGTCTGTATTACGATATAGATGATATAATAAGCATATGATAATGACGCTAGTAAATTTAATTTAAATATGCCACGCTACATGATCACAAATTGCTGTTACCTCAATTCACGTCGAGTCCTTGAAGATTTTCTTCATAAAGATTTATTACGGTTTTGACGGAAGTGTGCATCACATACGAACTAGTGACATTTAAAGAATGAATTTAGGTCGACAGGAGGAGGCGATACGAGAATTATGCCTCTAATAGGATCGTTATTAAATGTTTTTTGCCTTATCATAATTGTTAAGAATTTCTGAAGTACTTATAATTTACGATTACGATTTTATTCTTTAAACAGTATTGCTTTCCAGGTTTTCAAATTGTAAAATGTTCTTTAATTCTCTTGATTGACCCCATAGGCTCGTGTAACTTTCATGTCACATTGAAATTTTTTATATTTTACAAATAGTTATGGAATTTTTGATTCTCTACTATATTTGCAACTGTCCAGTTAAGCACAAGTAAATTGTTGATTTATAATTGTCAGCCGTAAT